CGATATCATGAATATTTGCAAGATCTTCATTCAAAGTAAATGACACCTCTGTCCTTCCTTGATTCTTGGCAATCCGCAGTTTCCCAACTTCGCCTCTTCCTGGAGCTTTTGCCCACTGCTGGGACAAGTATTTAGGAACCTTGACCAGCCACACTCGCGTGTTCTGTTTGGCTCCAGTGAGATCGAGTTCGCCGCGCTCCGCCATGGGTCTGTCACAGGCCGTCAGTGCCCTGAGAGATCTGCGGAGGGTCTGCGGGACGAGTGTGGGAACGAAGGCCGACCTGGGGGGGAAGGTTGACTCCGATAAGCCGGCGTTGCTCAACTACCAGGACGCCGGAAGCCGGGAGGAAGAACACGCTGCCGAGGACCAGAACTGCGCCTGCGAACTGCCACAACTTTTAAGCATCTTCTATGCACAAAACAATGTTAGCCCATGCCATCTTCACAACTGATCAGTGAGGCAAATACTCATTTAGAGTTAAAGAGATGGAGACAGAGAAGTTATAGAAAATTCTCAAAGTTGTATGGCTAGTAAGTCAAAGAGGTAGGATGCAAGTAGTTTTTTAAACCCCAATATTTATTGTGAACTATTTGAAGGTTTACAGAACGCATCAGTTTTTCATTTAACAGCTCATACACATTTTGTTTCGTGCCATTGATTGCAGTCCCCACCATGTAACACCATTCATCCCACTTCCTCCCTTGTTTCTTGTTCCCATTCATCCTTATTTCTTAATTCTTCCTGCCCTCTGAACTTTGTCCTTGGAAAAACGTTGCCTTTTGATCTCACAAGTTTGACTGATCTAAGGAGTGCATACTTTCCTAATGTTACAATTTACCTTATAGATCTGTCTGTAGCTTGGCTGAAAATAATGCCTTGGAAGTGAACTTAATTTCAGGCCTGAAGAGTGACTAAGTAGCATAGTCTTGGAGTTTCAACGAGTCACTATTTAAACAGTAAGCCTAGTCTTTTTATGATTCTAATTTTCTCTCCCTTGCTTTCTTTTACTCTAACCAGGTATCCGGACACCATCTAGTTCTCCTTATTTCAGGTTCTACTGTCTTTATATAGTGTTCAATGCTTTTCTCTTCATCATTAATATGGTTTTTTGTTCTTTACAAAGAA